CCTTCCTCCTCTCGACAAATCAAGCGGCGGATGACGGACAATGATGAAAATTTGATTCTTTGAAGTTGTAATGGCCATTGAAACGTGTAAAATTCTCCAATTGAAAGGGGAGGGGGGGGGGAAGGCCCCCCCAGTCTTGGGTGGCTGCTGCCGGCTCGATGGGAGGTTCCTCGGGGTTTTGTCGCCCATTTCCCATCGCTTGTTCGCTAATTCCGTCAAGGATTGGACCCGATTCTTGATAGAGTTTGAAGGGGCACCACTTGCTCAGGAATATACGACCCCCCCCCCACCCCCCACCTTAACTATCCCGTCTTCTTGTCACAGTGGCCTGCCTACTGTTGGCGTGAATAAGGCCTGTCACTATCAAATCATTTTAGTAGCGATGATTCCATCGATTCATCAAAAAAAAAAAAAAAATTGCATTTGTGTATGACAATTTGTCACTCATCGCAGTTTATGAAACAATTATTCATGTTTATCTGGTATTCTTTAAAAAAAGAAAACAAAACACGAAACAACATTGAAGCAATATCCCACGAGGGGGTTGGTTGATGTTGTACTTGCTAACCTTTTTGAAACCGATTCAGTTACGGGTCCGGTCATTGTTTTCCAAAATCAAAGCAGATGTTTGTGGAAAGTCTTATTTTGATGAAACGCAAAAAGACAATCGGTCCGCTTTCATGGCCGACTGCAGAAATTCAGAGAACAAATTACTCTTGAGAGGCGGAGATCACACGATCTGGACTGTTTTTAATAGAACAATGGCTCCCCATTCTTAAACTAGTCGTCGATTAATGTGATCAGTTGTCGATTGTTGACACCTCTTGTGTGAAATATATCACAACAAGCATCAGGTTTTCACTTTGTCCAACTTGCCCCTCGAGAGATCTTTGCAGCGGGGCCATCCGAACCCGCCTCCAGGAACTTAGTCCTTTACCAGGAACTTTTTTTTGTCCTGGTCACTTTTTAGTTCCAAAATTCTTCATGTATTCGAATCATTTTGGTGGAAAGGCCCGATGCGCTATCCTGGACACAGATGCTTTTTTTTTTTTTTTTTTTTTTCGTCTTCTGTTCCAAAGAACTTCATCCATCCCAAAAGACTGAAGACAACTGGAATTTCCCAACTACTGCGGGAAAGATATATTGTCCATATCAAACGCTAACGTTGACGTTGCGTTGAAATATATGTTCGAATCAGAAGTAATAAAAGTTGTTTTTTTTGTTTTTTTTTTTTTTGTGTGTGTGTATAGTGTAAAAGTAGACATAAATATTATCTAATGCGTGCAAAGGCTACCTGCTCTCTTCTCTGATTCTGGCACAGACAATCCATTGGCGTTTCCTTGAAGCCTCTCGAGCACCTTGCAAGTCAACCTTCTTCCAAAGCGCCCCCCCACCCCCTCTCACAAGTATTTCATGCTCAAATGTTGGGGGGCGGGGGGGTGCATCATTCAACAAATCAAATGAAAGAACCTGGAAGAGCGCAGGTTTCCCGATTGCCAAACGACGTAGCATCGGAAGCAGATGCTCGCCTCAGTTCACCCTACGAACAACGTATTCATTCCTCAGCTTATTTAACCCAACTACAGTGGACGGCTTCTTCTCATGTGATCAGGTTACAGGGTGCATGAAAGGGTTAAAGGTCATTCGTGCCTTTGTGCTTGCCAGGACATCACCACCGTGTCGGGGGTGCCGGAGGAGCACGTGAAAACCCGCAAAGTTCACATCTTTGTGCCCGCCAAAACCGCCATGCAGTCGGGAGTCAACGGCACCAAGAAGTGGAAGATGGACTTTGACACCAGGGAACGTTGGGAGAACCCGCTGATGGGCTGGGCCTCATCGTACGAAAGCGCTCCTTCACGACTTTTGTCAAACGTCGTCGCCGTCCAAGTTTCTTGTTTGACTTTTTGCTTTGTTTACGCAGTGCTGATCCCTTATCCAACATGGTGCTGTCGTTCTCCTCCAAGGAAGACGCCATTGCCTTTGCGGAAAAAAATGGTAATTCAGTTTCAGCCTTTTAAATCGTACTTCCATGTGTGGCTCGGTTCGGCACACTGCGACGGCAAAGGAACCCGAAAATGTCCGATACCGATTTGCTACGTGCGGACCAAAGGCATGCTCGGGCTTTCCGGCGGCGCATTTGAAGTGTTCGAATCAAAAGTATTGCTCCCGCTATCCATTCCGCCCACTTGAAGTTTTGGCCGCGTCAGCGATCGCCAATCAGCTTCGAGAACGTGCTGAGTACATCACACGCATTGGCAGACACACAGTCAAATAAAGCGGAGTGCCCCGACTCTTGTCCGCTCGAAGCGACCCACAGTGTGTAGTCACCCGGGCGAGACAAACGTGCGAGACAAATTTCAGTCTGATGGCAGCAATACAGTGATATTTAAATGAGTGCCATGGGAAGAAAATGGGCTTGTTTATTATAAAGGCGACTGCGTTGTGTTGCCTTTCTCTTCTGTCTTGAATTCATCGATGAGAAAAGGTCTTGATATTATAAAAGATAGACATCGTGGAGTGGAAAAACGTGATTAGGATTAACCAACCCGTATATCTAATCAAAGTGTCAGTGTAGCCTCGGTTTTTGTGATTAATCTGTTGCAAAAAGTCTGACTGACCGACACAATAAAAACCAAAGCAATATTTCCCTTAGGAAATAATGTAAAACCAAGTAATCCGTTTCAAACACACCAAATTATGAATAGAAAATACATCTTATAATTTTCCACGCGTATGAGCATTAACACAAACTTCCCTGAGCATTCCTCGGACCACAGTGAGCAATTTCAGACATGCGCAAGGCGGCCATACTGGTATCGCACATGTCCAAAACCTGCGGAAATAAGTTACGTCATGTAGTACATGATGAAAACAAATCTAATTACCTTTATATCAAAATGGAACATATCATTGAATGGCAATTTGTGACGCGAATACAGTTGGCCCAAGTTTGTTACTTTTAATTTAGCACACAGGTTATTTTAAGCATAATTAATTAAGCCAGTCTGGATGGATAACTATGATGACACATTGTGCACTAATAAATAATGGAAAATATGTCCTTCAATGAAACACAAAAATTTCTAGTCACCCGACCTTTGAAGCATGGGACTTTAAATAATTGCGTCCAAAGTTCAAACGGCCGATGTCGCCTCAAAAGCATCTGGGAAAAGTTTGTTGAAAGGACGGCCACGCTGTATTTATGACTGGGTGACAACAGCCAGCCCGCTGACGTCTGTCCGCTGCAGTTGGAAGCGGTCCAAGGCGAACTTCGCCGACCACCGCTCACGCTGATTTTTTTTGCCCTCCAGGTTGGAGCTACGACATCACCGACAAACGGACCCCGAAGCCTCGCGCCAAATCCTACGGCGCCAACTTCTCTTGGGACAAGAGGACCAGAAGGTCTGCTAAGTAAACCCGAGAGGCATCTGTTGGTCGCCGTGACCTCCCGTTGTCCCGCCCGCAGCGGACCTGTACAATTCCTGTCAATAAAAGCTTCATCACACGCTTCAACCAAAACCTTGCAGTCATTATTGCTTTCGTTTTTCAAACATTCACCTCATTACCGACTTCCTAATGTTTCGCACTTGATTCATGAAGTGTCTGCAGCGTGAGGAGGCTTGTGCAACAAAGACCCAACAATCAGAACCTGTTTAAACGCTGCGGTAAATATATGTGTTGGCTCAACCTACTGTGTTTTTCTGGGCGACATTTTGTTCCCATCTGCCTTTGATTGGAGTTCGGAGTTTTGTTTTTCTTTCCTTAGACGATGGTTAAACCCTGATGACAACAATATGTCCAGAAAGAGGTGGTTGTGTTATTAACACGCTTTATTTTGCTGTCCAGAGCCAAATTTTTTTTTGTATTTTACAAAAACCAAGACCAGGAACAGCCACGGTCCCCATTCCAGTCACAAGTGCAGTTGAAAATATGCTCCAGGTAGGCATTGTTTCACCCCCGACGTTCAGAAACTCATAGCGTCGTTCAAATCGTTCTGTAACTCAAGAGTGCCAGAGAGTGACAGCATCCTGAGCGCACACAACAGTTTTGAGGCGCAACTGTGTAGGAAAACGTCGACAAGCTGCAATTGGCTTCTGGATGATCTTTGGGAGAATTTGGCCTTTGTGGAACATGGAAAGAGTCTTTGGATTTGGATTCCGTTCATGAAAAATTTTTGTTCGATGTACAGTCGATCATCGCATGCCGTTTGTTACCTTGACACCACCAATGTCGGGTGTAGTAAAATAAAAACTTTTTTTTCATAATAGTGCTGGAATTTCTACAGCCTTTCCCAGAGAAGAATAACAAAAAACACACATCACAGCCGATAAAACAGCCAACCGCCTTTCCGCGATAACGTGATGATGTGAACGAGCGGCCAATGGTTCGAAAAAGAGGGGCTTCACATTTGGTGGCGGACTCGCTCCCGGAGCTTGTTTGCGGCCTTTGTGTTCAGTAAACAGTGGTGTTAGTCTGCCGCCCGGACCCACTCTGCGTGACTGCACTGACGTTCACATACCAGCCGTGGATGCTTAATTGGTATAACCCTTCGTTAATTAATGCACCGCATTGCAAATCTTTCACAGCCTTGTGCTCGCTATTTATGTTGGTCTGTCGCCGGGCGCATCAAAGGCACCGATCTAATAGGAGTGTAATGGTCCGATGGGGTCGGCGGGCCGTGAAAGGCGGCAATGTGTTGCTGTTAGCCTTTGAAATGCGCTCGGTGAGAAGGGGGGGGGGGCTGGAGGG